CCTCCCGTGAGCACAAACCTTGGAAGGTTTGGCCCGGCTAGGCAGGGAAGCGTTAGTCGGGGGCCAGTTACAAGTGTGCGCCTCCCCGTCCGTCTGTCGGTGGTGGGAAAGGGTCCTGCCTGACACACACGCCGGGGGCCTCACCCACGGCCCCCGAGTGCACCTCGGCTAACTGACAGCCTGCCCTCCACCTGGGAAAGTTGCAGACGGGGACGCAGAACCTGGCCGAACAGAGGGCTGGGCTGTCTGGGGGTGACTGGGCTGCTGGATTGATCCCCAGTCGCAGCCTATTCAGAGGTGTCATGAGAACCTTGTGGGTTTCCTGCTCCTTCCTGTCAGGCAGTGATCTTCTGTCTGCTGGGGTGTGTCCCCCGCCCCCGTGTAGCCATCCTGCTGTGACTCGACCCCGCTGCACATCTTTCCTCCTAAATGCCGGGCCGGATCATCGTTGTTCTGAGCCCGGCTGTGCTTTGCCCGTCTGCCAGCTCCAAATCCTGCTTCAGCTAAGCAGAAAGCCTTCCAGCGTGATTCATCAGCTGCCCCTTTGTGGTGTTACAGGAAGTGAAAATCTCCAGCCCGGATTACAAAGACTGCAACTCAGCAGAAGCCATGGACGACTTCATGAAGAGAATTAGTTGCTACGAAGCCAGCTATCAGCCCCTCGACCCCGATCAGTGTGACAGGTAATGCCCAAGAGGCGACACACTCTGAATCACTTGCTTTTGGCCTCTGTGCTTCCTCGGTGTCCTCACAAAGCATTCGCCCCTGGCGATACGTTTGTAAACTCTCTTTTAAACTGCCTTTTCCAGAAGTTCCTTGATTGCACGTTCAGTGTGACTGCTTCAGCCGCCGAGTGGGCGGAAGTGTGGGAAGGGGACATCTGAGCCCAGTCTCATTTTGTTTGCAATCTCCTGCTTTTCTCTCCCCTACTCCTGGGGGGTCAGCAACCTCCCTCCCACACGCCCACACTCATACTCCCACGGTCAGAGAAAACAGGTGTGGTCTGCCCTCCCCGGGCCGCCGGCCTGGCACTGCGCTCTGCGGGCAGCAGGCTGTGCGGCCGTGCCCCAGGCGGGGCCCTGATCCGCAGCCACCTTCCCGCGCAGAGACCTGTCCCTGATCAAGGTGATCGACGTGGGCCGGCGGTTCCTGGTGAACAGAGTGCAGGACCACGTGCAGAGCCGCATCGTGTACTACTTGATGAACATCCACGTGCAGCCCCGTGCCATCTACCTGTGCCGGCACGGCGAGAGCGAGCACAACCTCCGCGGCAGGATCGGAGGGGACTCGGGCCTGTCCAGCAGGGGCAGGAAGGTAGGAGTGGGGCCGAGGGCTGGGGGCGTGTGTCCCCGCGCATGCGTGTCTGTGCGTGTCTGTCTGTGTGGACACAGAGGGTCTCTGGGCCGTGGGGAGGGTGTGGGGGGCTCCTCGCCATTCGAACGAGATTAGAGTGACCGTCCCTAGTGCCAGTGGGAAGAGTCCGCGCTGCTTCCCTGGGGGGCACAGGAGCCTGGAGCCCAGAGTGCGCCCCTGTCGCCCCACCCCCAGTTTGCCAGCACCCTGAGCAAATTCGTGGAGGAGCAGAACCTGAAGGACCTCAAGGTGTGGACCAGCCAGCTGAAGAGCGCCATCCAGACGGCCGAGGCCCTGCAGCTGCCCTACGAGCAGTGGAAGGCGCTGAACGAGATCGATGCTGTGGGTCCCCGGTCCCCGCAGGCTGTTGGGGGGGCGGGGCGACCGCGCAGGGGGGCCTCTTCCCGCCCCCTCTGCTGGAAACCCCGGGGGGCCCTGAGACCCACGGGCGCGTGTGGCCCAGGGAGGTGGCCGCGGGGTGCTGCTTCCCTCACGTGACCCCTGGGTGTTCCCTCCAGGGTGTCTGTGAGGAGATGACCTATGAGGAGATCAAGGACACCTATCCTGAGGAGTACGCCCTGCGCGAGCAGGACAAGTACTACTACCGGTACCCCACTGGGGAGGTGCGTGTGCGGCCTGCGCCCCCCGCCCCATGTGCGCTCGTCTATGTCAGCTCCCTCTAGCCCGCGGCGCTGTCCCCTTGTCTCGTCCTGGCCCTCAGCCTCTGGGACCTGGTCAGTAAGGGCAGGAAGGGGGATAGCAGGCGGACCAGTGTGAGTGCGGGCCTTGCCGGTCTCAAAAGCCATAGATAGTCCTACCCCTTCTTTAAAAATTTTTTTATGGAGATAATATTCCCATAATGTAAAGTTAACTGTTTTCACCGTTTGAAAGTATACAATCCAGTGGTGTTTAGTATATCCCCAACACCATAAGATCCTCGCCTCTAATTCTAGACCATTCCATCATGCCAAAAAACACCCGTCTGTGAGCCCCAGCCCCAGTCCCCCGAGCCCCAGCCCCGGCGACCACGCGTCTGTCTCTGGAGGGGCCTGCTGTGGACCGCTCACCTGAGTGGGGCCGTGTGCTACATGGTCTTCTGCGTCTGGCTGCTGCCGCCACTTGGGTCACAGTTGCAGCGTGTGACAGGCGCAGCTTCCTGACTCCCCAGCGCAGAGGGGAGGGTCAGGAGAGGGGCGGAGCCATGGGGGCGAGGATGTAGGTTTACGCCCCGTAGGAGGACTGCTCCCCCACATTCTCGCCGAGCGGGGACGCCCTCTGACTCTGAGGCTGCGGGAGGCCCCCTGGCACCCTGAGGCGGCAGCACCCATACACGCGGGTGCTGAGCGGTCGGCCGACGGGTGTTCTCTGGGTTGCACCGGGGGCGGCCGAGGTGGCTCGTGCTCCTGCTCCATGCGGCACCCTGTCGTCCGTCTTGCAGTCCTACCAGGACCTGGTCCAGCGCCTGGAGCCGGTGATCATGGAGCTGGAGCGCCAGGAGAACGTGCTGGTCATCTGTCACCAGGCCGTCCTGCGTTGCCTCTTGGCCTACTTCCTGGACAAGAGTGCAGGTGCCGCTGTCCCCGAAGCGTTCTCAGGGTCGGGGGACAGGAGGCGCTGTCCTCCGAAGCATCCTCGGGGTTGGGGGACGGGAGCCGGGTGCAGCCCCTGGCAGAAAGGAGGAAATCTAGCCTCTGGGTTTGGGGTGGCACGGCCCTGTCCTTCCTTGCCCTCCCCTGGGAGACCTCAGAGCACACGTGATGCACGATGGCTTCGTGCGGGAGCCCCCTGAGGGCCCGTCTGTGGGCAGGGGCCAGCTCTGCTCTTCAGCTCACCTGTAAGAAGCAGACAGCCCAGAAAACTAACTCGAAACTTAAGTCCTCGTCTGCCCGAGGCCCAGCTGAGTCCCGACGCACCCGAATTGTTGAGGGAGTCACTTTTTGTTCACTCTCTTTGTGTGAAGGTGGGCTTGAGGTTTGTTTTGATTTTGTTCTTCAGGCTAGGTGTCTTTTCTAAGGCCATCTGCCTTGTGTGGGGGGTGGGGGGAGCCGCCCCTGCCAGGCCGGCCCCCGAGGGCACTGTCGTGGCAGACTCTCACTGGGGGCCATGGATGGCCATCCTCGAGCCCCACACCTAATCTTGGCGCCCTTCCTCTTTCCAGAGGAGATGCCTTACCTGAAATGCCCCCTTCACACCGTCCTGAAACTGACGCCCGTCGCTTACGGTGAGTATGGCGACGCAGCCCCTGCCAAGACTGCCCCCCTGGGACGGTGGCTCCTGGTGGCCGTGGGGCTGTAGGCGGCCTGTCCCCTGTAACCAGAAGCCGATCGGTCTCTCGCCACCCTCGCCCAGGTTGCCGCGTAGAGTCCATCTACCTGAACGTGGAGTCAGTGAACACACACCGGGAGAGGTCAGAGGTGCGTGTGAGCTCCCCCGCCGGTCCCCCGCCGGTCCCCCTCCTGTGCTCCATCCCGAGGTCTGTCGAGTGACAGCCCCGATGCCTGGGACTCCCGGGAGGCCCCGCGATCACGTCGCCTGTGCGCGCCTGTGTGCGCCTGTGTGTGCCGACACGCGTCGCTCAGCGGGTTCTCGGGGGCGTTTTCTTGGAACTTGGGGGGCCCGGGCGACTTTCTCCCGCTCTTTTCTCCGCATCCTGGGCTCCTGTCCCGTCTTTCTCGTGGCTTCTTGACCTCTTCTTTTTCTCTCTCTTTCCATGCTTTCTTTCTCCATTCTTCCTTGACCCAAGGAGTGAACATTAAAGAGGAAGACACATCCTGCTCTTTAACGTAGCCGCACAGCACAGTCGTTGCTGCCTCGTCCTCTGGGACAGCTAACACTTTCCCGTTCCAGAGTTAGGGGTGAAAGCAGCATCAGCATCACTCCTCGGCCTTCTGGCCAAGGTCAAGCGTAGTATCTGTTCGTAGCAGTTCAAAGCGGCATCGGCGGCTTCGCTCAGTCGGCCGTGTGCACGTGGGCTCAGGGTTGCCGAGGAGGCGAGCACAGTGAGCAAGGGAGTAGACGTGAAGAGACACGAGGGGTGGCGGGTGCCAGGGTTTTCAGGAGGCCCCGGTGCCCGGTGGCATTGGCTTCCCGCCTTGGGGATGCGGTCCGAGATCGGGTGGCCAGCCTGGCCGGGTCTCCCAGATGTCCGCCCAGGCGTCCGTTGTGAAGTCGGAGTTTGCTTTGTCCAGACGCGGTGCTTTGCCGGCATCAGCCCGACACTTTCACACCGAGTGTGCCAGTCCCGTCTGCTCAGGAGACTCCCACTCCCAGGGAGCGTGGCCAGGAGATTTTGGCATTAGAATCCGGCTTCCGGCGGCAGTTGCCTGGCTGGTTGGAACACAGGACGGCGTCCCTCGGCTCCGTGACGGCCCCTTCTGTACATGTGGGTGGTGGGTGCTGCGTCTCTTGCGGCTCTGTGAGGAGCAGCCTCCAGCCGGACCCTCCAGCAGTAGGGTTGGGCTGAACTGGGCTCCGATGGTCTCAACGCTTCACCGTGCAGGGTCTTGGTTGAGACAGACCTCGACTTGGGCTCCTTGGGCCACGAGCCACGGAGTGACAGGCCAGGGGGACTTCAGATCCCATCGCCCCAGGCACGTTGCCACTTGCCACTCCGGTCTTCTGTGTCTGTGGTCTCTTGGGCCCTTTGAAGCCCGCCTTTCCTGCCCCGAGCCGGGCGCAGCTTGGGGGCTCAGGGCCGGTTCCACGTCTCTGCAGATCCTGGCTTGCGGTCAGCCAGGATTGTCGCCGAGGACAGAGTCCAGCGCCGACACCTCCTTCTCCCTGCCCTCCTGTCGGCTTGTCCCCTCAGTGGTTAATGCCGCCTCTCCCCTGGGCCTCTCCCCTCCAGCCGCTCCCCTCCAGTCCCCTCCTTGGAGGCTGGAGGCCCTCTGTCCCACCTCCTTGCGAGCTACGACTGACTGCAGAACTTGTCCTGCTCATCTCCTCCCACCTGTTTTGTGAATGTTGTGTTTGTCCCAGTGTGTGTCTTGGAATGATCTGGAAAAGGGGCTTGGGAGGAGACCACCCCCGATCTCGCCGACCGGGAGACACAGGGCAAATGGCAGCCCTGTGGTCACAGGGCCATTCACCGTGGTCGGTCCTGTCATATCAGGAAATCCCAGAAGCCGAGAGACACCTTTTGTTTGGTGTTGATTTTTTTTTTTTTTTTTTGGCTTATTTACCTCCCCTTTCCTTGTAACTGTCGCCTTCTCTCTTTTGTCTTTGTCTCGCTTAGGATGCAAAGAAGGGACCTAACCCACTCATGAGACGCAATAGTGTCACCCCACTAGCCAGCCCTGAGCCCACCAAAAAGCCTCGCATCAACAGCTTTGAGGAGCATGTGGCCTCTGCCTCCGCTGCGCTGCCCAGCTGCCTGTCCCCGGAGGTGCCCACGCAGCTGCCCGGACAAGTGCGTCAGCCCCTGCCTTCCTCGCCGCCGTGTCCCGTGTCTGGGGGGGAGGAGACCACGCCGGTGGGTGTGGCTGCGGCCTCAGACCCAGGCCTGCGTGCGGGCGGGTGGGGACTCCCCGGGGGTCCACGTCAGGCCCTCCCTGACCGTGGCCGTGAGTGTGCACCAGCTTCCTGAGGGGGCCACGTCCTCTAGCCGAATCGGGGAGAGCGGAAGAGGTGGCACAGCGGCCGTGTCGCATTCACATCCACGGATAGGTTCTTCTAAACCAGAGTTGCACGCGGCCCCTGGTCTGGAAGTCTCTGTGCCGCTCTGGGCCAGGGGCTTCTCTGCGGCCCACTGTAGTAGTGGGAGGGGCCCCTAGAGAGTGTCCTCGCCCGGAACCCGCCAGGCCCGGTGACAGCCGGGACTTGCAGGGCTGGATGGCCCGGAAATGGCCACTTTCTCACACAGCTCGTAGTGAAAAAAACCAGACGGCAAAAAACCAACTAGATTTATTCGCTGAAAGATTTTGGCTGCTGGGCATTAAGATTTATTTTCAGAAAACCTTTTTTTTCTTCAACAACAGCCAAGAATCTTTGCCAGTGTGTGAGACGTAGTAATCTCCAGGCACAAATCTGGGT